TGTAGCTCAGAGAAAAGGGCTGTGAACACTCAAGAATGTCTTATTTACATTTTTCCTATTATTCATCTAATTGATTCAGTGTTACCTGGGGACAGCAGAAACAGTACTACTGCAGTAAACAGAAGCTAACACTTTTAATTTTGTGAATTTGCTGCACTGAGATAACTTCTGATCTGCCTTAACCAGCTTCTAGTTTGGAAACTCATGACATCCTCAGTTCTTCATCCCGTTAACATTCCACACATCAAGCTACATCTCTACCTGCTGCTGTTACAGTTTGCTACTTAGGCATAACTTTCCTTAAGTTGTGCCTAAAATGGCAGCATAAATGCCTTCCCTGTCCACCTTGGTGATTCTATGACACAGCATCAGGAGAACAACCTATGAGCTATGCCAACAGAGGCAGAAATTGAGAGATTGGCGAGTGACCTCAACCACAACCACCTAAACAGCAAAACAGCACTTTACTTGCAACCCAACCTTTGCAGCATTAGATACATCTACTAAAGATTGCAAGCATAATGTCCTAAAGTGGTCCTAAAGGAAGAACGAAGCCAGCTTTTTTCTTTTTCTTTTTTTCTTTTTCTTTTTTTTTCTTTTCTTTTTTTTTTTTTTCAGAAGGTCATGTCATTTGGACACCTTAGAGAAGGTTCTGTTCTCTCTCCTCTGTCACACAGCATTAAAACATAATGGAATACTGCCAGACCACCAACACCCATCTCTGATGTCATGAGCCAATGTAATAAAATAGGAGGCATTACTTTTGGAGCAGGCCTCATATTAATGAAGAAGCATGTGTGTGTAAGTTAATTAGTGCTTTATATAACTTTTATCCCTAAACATGATTACCCACTAACTTCACTGTAGTTAAATGTCCAAATCTAAGAAATTACATCAATTCTTTTAAAACTACCATCTGATTAATGTCAAATGTTTACTATAGTTAAATTACATATGACAAATGATGGAAAAAATGTTTTTGCCCTAAATTAAATGGGGATAAAAACACCATTAGCTCAATAAAACTCACATTAGCTCAAAAATTTCATTCATTATATAAGTCTTAGTAGACACCAAACTTAAATTACACGACATATCACTCCAGAAGGGCCAGGTTGTTGAACAGCAACTTCTCTATCTGTTCTTAGCTGAAGTGAAGTCTTAGCTGCTCAAGAAGAACTTTAGGTTCTGACAAGGTAGAAGTTTGTAGCACTATTTGTTTTAAATAGGTAGACACAATAATGCCTCTGATTTTAGCTACGCAAGTAAAGAAGGGGGTTTTGAAACAGAATTGAATGAGTTTTCTCCAAAATATGTTTTTTTAATCACAAAATTTCAACTAATCATAACTTGTAGGTTTTTGCTTCTGGTACTTTGCTGACTGCAGTATAATGTACACCTCATGCAAATTCAGATAGATCCACTGCTAACAGCAGCCTCAGAGCAACTGAAAATGTAGTATGATCTTCTGTGGCTGTAGTACAGGTGTATCCCAACAGCCCAGCACTCATGTGAGACATGAGACATATCATAAAATCATAGACTATCTTGGGTTGGAAGGAAACATAAGGACAATCTAGTTCCATCCCCACTTGCATGGATAGCCTCTGGAGTAGAGCTCCATCCAACCTCTAGGAATGGAGTATCCGCACCTTCTCTGGACTATGTATTCCAATGCCTTTATACTCTCCTAATACATAATTTCTAACATCTAATACAACTTTCTCTCTTTAGTTTAAAACCATTCTCCCTATATCGTATCACTATTTGTCTGTGTAATCTTTATAAGCCCCTTTTAGGTAATGAATGTAGAATTACCAATTCAAATACAGAGGATTATGCAGATATCTGACCATCACACATGGTTATCATTTTCAGTCAATAGCTATTTTATAACCATTATTAATTCCTCTGTAAATTTTTAAAGCACCAAAACCAACCAAACAAGAACAATAAGAAAACAACTTTTTGTTTTTAAACGAAGTTCTTGTTTTCTAAGGAAGCCCCCATATAGCATTACCTCATGTTTCTTCTACACCTATGTGCTCTCCTACTGAAGACAGATTAAAGACAGAAGCTTTTTAAATGACTTTGATATAAAACATTTGAAACAGCCTCACTGATGAAGATGGTAAATATATGTCTAAAATGTGGAGCAGCTCATAGGCAAAAAACGACATGACAGCATTTGACAATAGGCTTCAGTCACATTCTGTTTTACAGATGCTGTAGTTCATTCTCCCAACATCCGTAATCATTGCTCAAGAAATTTAAATATTGGTGCAAAATAGGGATACCTCCACTGACACAGGAACACAAAGGAATAGTTTCTCCAAGGCAAGTTTATCCCTGATTATTTTGCCTTACACTTATTGACAGGGTTTTGGCAGTACATTGACATACATCTGAAACACTGATTCTGACTGTCATAAAACATTCCTATGCAGACCTATGTAGGTTGCCCCAAAAGTAATGTCTCCTGTTATTTCCATGGGATCAGATACAAAGAGCAAATTCTCAACTAAAAAATATTATTTTCCAATGTAGTCACTACCACTGGCTATACGTTTTCACCAGAACTAAAAAGAGAACCAGCAGATATGATCCACTGTTTCACAGCTGCTATGATGGCATCATTGCTAGGAAAATATTTCTCACAAAGTCCATCTCTCATTGACCAGAAATCAAAAGGCACTAAATCTGTACAGTGGGAGTGGTAGTACAGTCCAGCCAACATTGGCAATGTGTTCCAAGGTCTTCAGACAGGTATGAGGCCTGGCATTATCATGTTACAACAGAAAGATTGTCTTCTCTGGCCTGACTTTGGAAATTTGAGCCTTCAGCATTGCTACATAGTGGTCATAGTTGATGGTTTGTGCAGGTTGCTGGAAATCCAGAAGGGTCACACATTTCCTATTCCAAAAGTACGTATCAGTATGCATGCTGTGACTACATCTTGAACTTTTTCTTCAATGGGAAATTCACACATTGATGCTTGATGGATACTTTTGATGAATATTTTGACTTGGCTTGTAGTGGTGACACCACATCTTGTCACCAGTAATGATACAATCCAGGAAACCATCCCCTTCAGCCTTGTATTATGTCAGTAGGTCCTGGGAAACTTGTATACAGTGTTCTTTCTATTCCCGTGTGAGCATTCATGGGACCTACCTGGAACAAACTTAGCAATATTCCAATGTTGCCACCGTTGTTTCCAAAGCATTGAAATCTATATTCAACTCCATAGGCAGTTCCCTGGTTTTAAGCTGCTGATTGAGATGCTGTTCATATTGTAGTGTGACAGCTACTCATGACTATCCAGAACATGGCTTATCTTTCACATATAAAGTTGTAATGTTTATCATAAAGCTGTCATTTTCAATGTCATGGATAGAAAATTCCTCTCTTGGAAAATGTTCATAATGTTTTTCTTTCTATTAGTGAAAATTCAACAAGTCCAGGAGGCTAGAGACAACAAAATGGAAATTGGGATATATTTATTGAAAAAGTTTATTTAGTATAAAAATGATGTTAAATGAGAGCATTTTTTCTAGAATTATTTGCAAATAAAAGAAGGTTAGAAGATTGATGTAAGTGTGAAGTATGGGATTAAAAAAAGAGAGAGAGAGAGAGAGAGAGAGAAAGAGAAAAAAATTGCTTTGGGATTACTATCATAGTTGTTCCTATGGTAACCAGTTATTTGTGCTGCATACATCATCATTTATATTTCAGGAACTGGAGTGCTGGAAGAAAGGGAGGTAAAAAGAGCACGTGTTACACTAAATTAACTCCAAAGACAAACCCATATTAAAATACTTGACCCCCTGAGTAAAAGGCAAAATACTTTATGTGACTTCACATACTTGACACTTGAAAGAGCATTTCTCAGAAAAAGAGCTCTGAAAAACCAGCAAATGCGTACTGATCTTCCCATTTTGTTCTGAATCATATCTCTAATTCACTGCCAAATAGCAGTTTCAGTCTTGTCTGTGCTGAACAGCTGAGGTAGTGAAGGGAGAAAGTGTCTGGCTGCTTTCAAGACCTTGGCCTGACCGCAGGCAGTAGAAAAGTATTGATAGCTGTTTGAACTAGTCTGGCTATTACAGAAAGGCAAGATATACAGACAGAGAGAAGTGTGTTATACTACAGTCATTTTCTTGACAATGTCCATCAGCTTCAGTTGGATTCAGTCTTTTGGACAAGGTAAAATATGTTTCTCTCTAAACTTTCTTTTGCTGTTGCACAGTCAGACTTTGATGTGAAGTCTCCAAATGCTGAACTACCTAATGATGTGCAGAAAGATTCAGCAGCTTTTTGGAGACAGAAAGATATAAAACAAACTATTGCTTATTAAAAAGTTCTTTACCCTGTAACCTGAAAATATAAAATCCCATATTAATGAGGGAATTTAAACCTAAAACTTTTCAAAACACAGTAATTTATTAGTAAGAAACAGTTATTTATGTTTAAACAACTATGAAAGAAAAAAAATAATAAAAGTAAAAAAAAAAAAAAAAAAAAAAAGCCAAAAGGAGTAAGCTTAAGTATCCTAACCCTATACATCACAGAATCATAGAATGCCTTTGTTGGGAAGAGGCCTTAAAGCCCACCCAGTTCCAACTCCCTGACATGGGCAGGGTTGCCCCCCACCAGCTCTGGCAGCCCAGAGCCCCATCCAACCTGTTCTTGAGTGCCTCCAGGGACACCACAGCTTCTCTGAGCAGCTGTACCATCATCATCAGACTAAAAATTTTTTCCTAACATGTAATCTACATCTCACCTTTTAAGTTTAAAACTATTCACTCCTTGTCCTATGTATGGGAACTGCTGAGTCACAGCCTGAACCTCTGATTGATCACCTGACGTGAGCACTGAGTCATCCAGAGGAGCACAGGTGAAGGCAATTCACCTGTGCTGCTGGAAGGGATGGAGCCTGGCTCCACCCCTCCTAGACCCATTTAAGAGCTGGCTACCAGTGGGGAAGGATGTCTTCTGGAAATGTGCTCTGCTGGAGTTTTGCAAGTGAGCATAGGATAGGGGTAAGTTTTCTATCTATTCTCTTTTTGCTATCATTATCTGCTTTACTAAGCTATCTTGTTTATTTTGTAATTATAGCATCTTAATATTCTTTGATTATACACCCTGTTACCACATCTCCCAGATAAAGTCCTGTAGGATCCCTCAAGCACTGGAAAGCCATGACATGATCTCCTCAGAGCCTTCTCTTCTCCATGCTCAACAATTCTAGCTTCCTTAGTCAGCCTTCATAGGATAGGTGCTTAAGCCTTCTGATCATCTTCATGGCTTCCTCTGGAGCTCCTCCAATAGCTCCACATCTTTCTTGTGTTTCAGGCACCCAGAACTGAATGCAGTACTTGAAGTGAGGCCTCCCAAGAGAAGGTTAGAGGGAAAGTATCAGTTGCCTTGGTAAGAAGAAGCTGCACTTCTTATGATGATAGCTCATATTCAGTATTTCATCTACCAATACCCCCAAGGCCTTCTTCACAGAGTTGTCACTTTACTCATCATCCAAACTGAATTAATGGTTGAGATTGCTTTGGCCCAGATGCAGGACCTTGCACTGGGCTTTGTTGAACTTCACGAGATTTGTCTGGGCCTACCTCTCAAGCCTGTCAAGGTCTCTCTGGATTGCATCCATTCCTTTCTGTGCATCAACTGTGCCACTCAGCTTGGTATACTCTCCAAACTTTCCAAGAGTGCACTCAATGTCACTGTCCATGTTACCAATAATGCTGCTAAGTAGTGCCAGTTCTGATGCAAAACCTCAAGAAACACCATTAATTATTGGAATTCCTCTGCACATTGGGGAATCGCAATCTTTAACTGCAACCATCCAGCCAATTCCTTATCCACTGAGTGGTCCATCCATCAAATTTATGTCTCCCCAATTTAGAGACATGTAAGACAGGCAGATGATATTTGTTACTCTTCTGTTACAAAACTAATGCTGTTACCCTATCATAGAAGGTACCAGGTACAATTTCCTGTTAGTGAAATCACTTGGGCTGTCGCTACTCCCCTCTCTGTTTTCGGAGTGCTTTAGCATATTTTCTAGGAGGCTTTGTTTTGTGATCTTGCCCAGAACAGAACTAAATTGCTCCAAAATTAATGCCTTCTATTTACTTCCATGGAAACTACAACAGATCCAAAGAACATAATAACTCTATTTGATAGAGCAAATGCTCAACTACAAAATGATATTTTTCAGCAGTTTCCACCAGTAGCCATGCATCTTCATGAGCAAAGAACAAGATCCTGAATCCACATTCGTAAGTGGGAATGACCTGCTGTTGCCATTGCTGAAATGCACCACTCACCACCTTATTGTGCTCACATCCATTGTTTGGTCTCCACAGATGTTCAGCAAGCATCGATCAGTGTTAATGGGTGCCATTTTTTCTGCAAGGAGGAATTTAGTTGCACACCTTTGTTCCATACACACTTCCATGTCAGACGCTACTGTGTCACCCTGCCCTCTGCAGCCATCTGTTGCACAGTAATGAAACGTAACAGGATATTGGCAGGAAAGTTCAGCCTCTACTTTTGTACCATTAATATCTACCACTGATACTGTGGGCCAACAGCATGAAATAGAAGGCGTTCTTGGCCTGAGCACACTGCTGGTGAGCATCAAGTAACACCCCCAGATATGTTACATTTACAGTCTTCCAGCCACTTTGCCCCAAGCTAGCAGTGTTGCTTAGGGTTGTTGTGGCCAAAGTGCAGGACCTGGCAGTTCAGCCCAATGGCCTCAACCCAGTGATCCAGTTTGTTCAGTTCTCTCTGTGGCACCTTTCTTCCCTTAGCCACTTCCTTCCGACTCGATGTCATATGCAGACCTACTGAGGATGCACTCAGTACCCTCATCCCATTCATCAATAAAGATATTGAACAGGACAGACATCAATACCAATTCCCTCATGGCTGGTCACCAGCTGAATTTAACTCCATTCACAGAATGATAGAAGAACACAATCACAGAATCACTCATGTTGGAAAGAACCTTGAAGATCATCGAGTTCAACCACAACCTAACTATGCTACCCTAACAACCCTTTGCTAAATCATGTCCCTGAGCACTACGTCCAAATGCTATTTAAGACATCCAGGGATGGTGACTCAACCACCTACCTGGGGAGCCTATTCCAGTGCTTAACAACCTTATCTGTTAAAAAGTTTTTCCTGATGCCCAAACTCCATTCACCACCACTCTCTGGGCCCAGTCATATGGCCATTTCTTCACCCAGCAAAGAGTGTACCTGTCTAAGCCACGGGCTGCCAAATTCTCCAGGAAAATACTCTGGGAGGCAACATCATTGACTTTGCTGAAGTCTAGGTAGACTATGTCAACTCATCCACGAGGCAGGTTATTCTATCACAGTAGATGAGGTTAGTTAGGCAATACTTGCCTTTAATGAACCCATTCTGTCTAGGCCTGGTCCCCCAGTTGTCCCACACATGCCACGTGATCTCATTCAAGGTGATCTGCTCCATCAACCTACCTGGCAGCAAGGTCAGGATGATGGGCCTGTACTTCTCCAGATCCTTCTTTCAACCCTTTTTTTAGATTGGTTCACATTGGCATCCTGCAGTCCTCTGGGACTTCTCCTACTGACCTGGAACGCTGATAGATGATGGAAAATGGCTTGGCTATCAACTCTGCCAGCACCCTCAGTGCCCTCGCTTGGATACCATTTAGCCTCATAGATTTGTGACAGTCCAAGTGGAGTAGTAAGTCTCTGTTTCCATCTGAATCATGGGGAATTTATTCTGCATCTCATCTGAGACTTCCAGATCAGGGACTAGAGTACCCGAGGAATAACCAATCTGACTTTTAACAACAGATATAAAGAAGACATTGAAAAGCTCAGCCTTTTCCTTATCCTCAGTGCTCACGTTCCCAGCTGCATCCAGTAAAGAATGAATATTCTCCTTAGAACTCCTCTTATTGTTAATATATTTGTAAAATAGATTTTTGTTTTCTTTTACCCCAACAGCCAAACGGAGTTCAACCTGGGCTTTTGTCATTCTAATTTTCTCCCTGCACATCCTAACAACTTCTTTGTACCCTCCTATATGCGTATACATCACAGTTCCAACTGAAATCATGGATATCAGGAGTTAAAGCTCCCAGTGAGATATTACACTTTTGAACACTTCTGCAGATCTCATTTTTACTTATGTAAAATAGGAAATGGAATTTGTTGGCCTGGTTCAAAAGTATGTAAGATAACATTACACTTCACACAGTGTCTTGAGTTCATTCTCTGTGCCTGTGCGAAAGTACTGAAAAAGTCTTTCTCTATGTCCTGTAGTGGCCCGTTACGAGTTTAAGAATTTGGCATTCTTCTGCTCGAGCATCCTGAGAAGCCCACTATGGTAAGTGATCTATGAGACATTCAAATGCATTCAGGCCTATAAAATGAAGCTGTAATTGCTTTTTCTTTTTTTCCTAAAAGGCTGTCGCAGTGCCACTGTCTATCTTTTATGTAATATCTGAGAGAATTTATCTAAGAGTAGGAGTTCAGTTCAATCAAAAATCTAACAGGGATCCAACCTACATATCTCTCAAAAGCACCCTATCATCAATATATAGACTGTACTGAAGTTCTCCAAACTGTGCTGCTGTGTGAGAGTAGATCTGATGTTGCAGAGTGTATAGAGACAAAAGTAATATTTGACTTTTTCACTGCCTGTGAAAGGCAATTCTGATACTTGTTTCTAAAGCTCTTAAATTATTCAATTTTTTTGAGTAAAATTCAACCTTATGAGCAGAAACTATGGTTATAATTGTGCCCTCCTATCTGAATGCCTCAAGTGCTAGATTGAAAAATCAGTTTCATTTCTGTGTAGTTTTTCTCAACAATGTTTGAATGATTTTCATCACAGTGTTATGTGAACATATATACAGGGAAAGCATGCCCCTCTGCAATCCACCAGATTAATGTGTAGCCTAAGATTTTTTGGCTTTTCATAAGAAACTATGTATGATCTTGAACAAAGAATCATAGCTCTCACTTCTTGAGGAAGTTTCCTGAAATGTAGAGAATTGAATTATCTTCTCTTCACCTTAATAACGCATACCATCAAAGATAGGATGGGTCCTTGGAAAAGGCGCCAGCTGAAATGCAAGGATGAGGAACTGGGACAGGGCTTGCATTTGGGAAAGTAGTTTGGGCTGGCATGGTGGTGGTAGTGCAGTAGAAACGTGAGGACAAGATAAAGCACAAGGTTAGGATCCTGTTTTAGGGAATTGAGATGTGCTTTGAGAAAACAAAGATGAACATCTTGTGATCTGCTATGACTTGACATGGAGCTAGAACTCTCATCACCTTAACAGTTATCCCATTAGTTGCCTCATGTACTTGTAACTACTAACACATTGCAATTGCTACCGAGGGTTACATATGGCTATTCCGAGTTTGAAAACCTAGATTGTTCTTGTGGGCTGGAGCCCCAGTTCTAGTGCTCTTCTTGACGCAGTTGAAAAGAGCTGTTAAATATCGTTTAAAATGCTTTTCCATTCTTCCATTCTTCTATTTTGAAAACTGTAACATCTTCTCTGAGCTAGAATTACATGAATTATTACCAGACCAAAAAGACTTATCCAGGTCTTTGCACTCACAAGAAAAAATACTCTTCTTAATTCAGCTGCTAATTAATTGCATAACTTCAACTATTTTGCCACATTATAGCAACTCTAAATACCTTAAAATGCAAATGGTGTACTGTCTTTTCAAATTATTTTGTCTTGATAGTGATAGTGTGTCTCACTCCACATGTTCTTTATGGAGATTTGAATAGCAGCATATCTTATTCTCTGAAGCACCCTTAGTGATCCATCTTTTCTGTATATTAAAGAGAAAAAAAAAATCGTCAGTGAACAAAAAATATTTAAAAAATCTTGTGAAGCCAAAATAGTCAGGAAACATGAATAATAATGTGTCATTATTTTTTAGTTAAGATTTAGAGGACTCGTGAGCTGTGAAGTCTTAATTTAACTCTGGGCTTTACAATCTTTTATTTTCCTTCAGTGGATATTGCAAAACTCTTTTCTGAATCCCAGTATATTAAAAATCAGACGTGAAAATAAATGGAGTCACACTCACTATTTTTAATCTCATCTGTAGAACTTCTGATTTTTTAAATTTACTTTATAGTATATGTATTTATTAGATTCTGACATAAATAATATGCCTAAATACCATTTAAAACTGGCATACTGATAGCAATTTCTACTGTTCCTATTTTGAACATGTGATACATTCTGAAGTATTCAGAGCATTCCCCAAGTTCTGGAAAACATTTTAACATGCTACACCAGGAAGAAAAAGAAAAGAATATTTAATGGTTTAAATTGGAGAAGTGCTTTTAAAGGGAAATCTGAATATTTTTATAAAGTTGCTTTTGATGTTTCTGCATCTGGAATGCATTATCAAAATTATGGTCCTCTTGCAACAGACACATGCGTAGGCTTATGTTGAAAAAAAAAAAAAGAGTGAAGTGACTCTAGAACAGGTAGCTGTAAAAACTCAATTTGAACAAAAAAAAAGCAATTGTCTGTTCAACTGCATTTTGTATTCCTATGAAGCTTTTCAACTGTTGGGATATTGAACCTTTTGAAATTCAGTATGTCAAGATACCACTTCAAAAAATGACAGTTCTGTAATTTCTTCTGCTCACTGAAATCACAAATATCTCATTGTAAATGGGAACTATTTTTTCAATTTTTGAATTAAAGTTACATATAAACTGAAAACAAATACATTGTAAATATGTTTTTGATCCTTCAATGTTTCTTTCCCTTCCAGTGGGAACAGAGCTATCATCCTAATGTCAGCATGGAATGAATCTGTAGCTTATTTCAAAATGAATAAGAGAAAAGGTAACAGGGTTGTGTTC